CTGCAGTTGCCTGTCGCTCTTGGGCTGTCTGTTGCCTATCGCTCGCCTGCCTGTATGCAAGAACATCATCTGCAAATGTCAATATCCTTTTAACAGCATCTGGTGCTACTATTTCTGCAATCTTGCTTGTATACACATTAAAGATCACTGGTAAATTTGCAGAACATTGGAGTAGTCCAGGGGCGATTTTACAATGTTCTGAGTTCCATGTACCCAGGCTAAGAACAACCATACATGAATGAGCGCATATATCAAAATATTATATTTGACTCTATTGTAGGCATCCTCAAGATCAAGTGCTGCTGCTACCTCTCCTGCCTATTCTATAACACCTCATGCACATCAAAAGCAAAAGTAACTGCATTTGACCATGTATCTTTCCTTGGTCGGTAACTAAACACACTTTTTGGCAGGAGCTCTTTGCTTTCCAAAAACATTTGTAGTTTAACAGCAGTAATCTTTTTTAGCACGTTATTGGGTGATAATCCTGAAACTACTAAGTCTGTAATGATCTTTCCCTGGTTTTGGAAGAGGAATTAGGTAGCTTGTACCCAATCCTGGGGTACTAAAGCTGTTCTGATGCTTTGGTTGAAGTAAACAGCCAGTCTTCATCACTGACGCTATTCTTTTGGGCATACTTGACTCTGTCTGGCCCTGGCATAGTGGCTTTTTGCAATATATATTTTATATCCTCCAACCCTAATAATATCCTGAAAATAGTTATCGTTTATAGTATTAGACAGATTATCTTACAATGAATTTCTAGGTTTCCTATCATTATGATCAGTTTGTGCTATAAATCTCTTCAAAAATGCTTCCCCTTTCTCTTTGTCTGTTGTTATTGACTTTTCATTATCAGTGTATATAATGCCTGTTGTGATGGGCAGGTCCTTCGTTTGCATCTGCCTGTGAAGTTTCTAAAACTTACCCAGTGATTTATCCCCTCAAATTTTGCTCATTAAATGTTCATAATTAGCCTTTTTTTTCACATGCTGTACACCACTTGAACTTTTCTACTTTTTCTTTTCCTTTTTCTAGCTTCTCTACATCCTCTTGTAACCTGTGAGGTGTCTTACACACTTTCTGTCATGGTTTAACTGCTGCTGGCTTTGCTCTCCATGCCTGTTCTACTTCTTAGGTCCACCATGGAGGCTGTACCAAAAGCAGAGGAGGTAGTTCTGTTGCATACCTTCTGCCAAAGGTATTCAACAAGGGTACTTAAAAGTCCTGCACGTTCTTACAGCCATGATCTTGCTAGCTTGAGAAATCAGGACTGAGCATGACAAATGGTCACTCCCATGATTGCCTAACACACTCCATTTTGTGTCCAACACTGCTGACAATAAGTGCCAAATTAATAGCTGTGTCTGCATCACCAGGTCCTTTGTTGTGATTTATATTGGCCTACCGTCGTTTATACAGACCACACCTGCATCTGCCATAGCCTCTGCTACAGCATTTCCTTGTCTATTTTCCCCAGTACTGTTCTGTGCTCTGTTCCGCGCATCAAAATCCCCACAAATGAGAAGCCTATTACCAGGGATTTCCTCCAACTGTTTGAGCTAGTCCCAATGTTTCTATGTATGCCAGATTGACATAGAAATAAAAGAAGACCAAACAAAACATGAAGAAGGGAGAGTTTTTGGTTGAAAAGATGGGGAGGACGTGAGGAGAGCTGCATGTGATAGTGAAGGATAGAACAACTAGGCGTGAGTTGTTTGAGGGCCTATGCTGCATTGGGGGCTAGAAAGGCAGAAGACAACTGTAGATACTTTTCTCAACGTTTATAGCTTTTTTTTTTAGCATCCTTGTCTTCTCATGCATTTTATAAAATGAAAAACATCTTGTGCAATATATCCTTGTCATTGAGAGTTAGAAAAAGAATTCTTGCTTGCTACATACATCCAGTTTTAACATATGGATGTGAATCCTGGACAATCGGTAGGCAGTCCAAACAATTTTTGGAGGCTTCAGAGATGTGGTTTTACAGAAGAATGCTTAGAATACCTTGGACAGCCAAAAAGAGCAACCAAGAGGTTTTAAAAGAGGCGGGAGACCGAAGACAACTTATCACTGACATCAGAAGGAGACAGTCATCATTTTTCGGCCATGTTATGAGAAGAGGGAAAATAGAACATGTGACCACTGGAAAGATCTGTGGAAGGAGGGATAGAGGAAGACAACGAGAGAAGATGCTTGACAGTCTTGTTGCATGGCATGGAGGTGTGTCGGCACACGAACTGATACATGCTGCAGGAGATTGCGGATTATGGAGAGGCATGATCGCCCACGCCAGTCGGCAAGGCACCTGATGATGATGTCTTCTCAGTCCATTTCTTTCCTATTGCAGTGCCTGACTGATGACTCTCTGCTTCCCACAATATATTGCCATCATCCTTGTCTTATAACTGTTGAAATCAGTGGTTTTCATATTTTCAACTGCATCTTGTCATTGTTTTGTTGTATGTGTGTTTTTGTCTGACTATATGTCCTGTTGCTTCCAGTGCATGATAATTCTAGTTAATTACGATGGCATGACATCATTTCCTCATGTCTTTGTTCTCTGTCAGTTGTTTATTTCTGTGCTGAAGCTCTGTAGTAATGAACAGCATTAACAACATTTAGTTTGTTTCAGGTTTCATTGATGATTTCATTGTAGTTTTCTGCTGTAATACATGAGTGTATTCTCTGGGTAAGGTTATCAGACAAGTCCTTCTTTACTGATTTCAGTTGTGGAAAATTATCATTTGGAGACTCTTCTAGACTTTAAAAATATAGTGTGCATTTCATCTCTACATTTGTGATCAGAACAGCCACATGAGATGTCAGATGCCTCACTCCTTAGTTGTGTTATAATAATAGTTTAATTGTTGACACTAGTTTTTGAACCCATGAATGTGGGGAAAAAGTATGAAAGACTGAAGAACATTTGCGATAAAAATGGAGAGTATAAAGAATGGGAATATTCAACTATTGTGTCGAGAATATAATGGTAGACTTACTATATAGGAGTCATTATAACCAACCTCTCCCGGGAACAATTAGTTGAAGTTGCCCCATGTGCAGTGACATTGATTGTGGTAACATAACTTAACATACCATAGTAGTCATGATGTTAGTGAAGCAAAAACATGAACGTCGAGTTCTGTTTCTAAGAGAGGAAGCGGAAGGGCACCTGCTAGACACCTGGTAGTGTGCTGACTAGTGGTAACTCATTTAGCACACAACAATAGTCCAGTCTGCACTCATGAGTGATTAGGACCAGTATCATGCTGCACGTGTTGAAAAGGGTACTATTCTCAGGAATCAAGCATAATGCCAGTTTGCTAAACCATGGATACAGTGATTTTGTGCTAAACCATGGATACAGCGATTGTGTGCTAAACCATGGATACAGTGATTGTGTGCTAAACCATGGATACAGTGATTGTTTGCTAAACCATGGATACAGTGATTGTTTGATAAACCATGGATACAGTGATTGTGTGCTAAACCATGGATACAGTGATTGTGTGCTAAACCATGGATACAGTGATTGTGGGCTAAACCATGGATACAGTGATTGTGTGATAAACCATGGATTCAGTGATTGTGTGTTAAACCATGGATACAGTGATTGTGTGCTAAACCATGGATACAGTGATTGTGTGCTAAACCACAGATACAGTGATTGTGTGCTAAACCAGGGATACAGTGATTGTGTGTTAAACCATGGATACAGTGATTGTGTGCTATACCGTGCATACATGGATCGTGTGCTAAACCGTGCATACAGGGTTTGTGTGCTAAACCGTACATACAGTGATTGTGTGCTAAACCATGGATACAGTGATTGTGTGCTAAACCATGGATACAGTGATTGTGTGCTAAACCATGGATACAGTGATTGTGTGCTAAACCATGGATATGGTGTGCTAAACCGTGGATACAGTGATTGTGTGCTAAACCATGGATACAGTGATTGTGTGCTAAACCATGGATACAGTGATTGTGTGCTAAACCATGGATATGGTGTGCTAAACCGTGGATACAGTGATTGTGTGCTAAACCATGGATACAGTGATTGTGTGCTAAACCATGGATACAGTGATTGTGTGCTAAACCATGGATATGGTGTGCTAAACCGTGGATACAGTGATTGTGTGCTAAACCATGGATACAGTGATTGTGTGCTAAACCATAGATACAGTGATTGTGTGCTAAACCATGGATATGGTGTGCTAAACCATGTATACAGTGATTGTGTGCTAAACCATGGATACAGTTATTGTGTCCTGTCTGTTCTGTTTTGTATATCTGTGCCATACAGTACAAATGTGAGCAGTGTGTTATTACATAGATAATGCCTCTAGAGAATTCCAAAAGGTCACGTAATTCACACAGTAAAAAGGGAATAATTTAACAGCTCACACAGTGGAAGCGGACAAAACAGCCAAGTTTCCAAGAAAAGTGTGTCACACATCTGTTTCATACAAACACTTGTTTATTGGTAATGTGACTACTAGTTGTTCCGTTAGACAGATTTCATGAAATTATTACATTATGGTGGTGACTTGCATTGTGTTTTGTCTTTGTTATGTTTCCTGCAGGTCCATGATCTGCCCTGTTGTACACTTGTGTTTCTGCAGGTCCATCATCTGCCCTGTTGTACACTTGTATTTCTGCAGGTCCATCATCTACCCTGTTGTACACATGTGGTTTTGCAGGTCCATAGTCTACCTTGTATCAGCGTCTGTCGCTTAGGCGTTGCAAATATGCTTCGTAATGCCAGGGTCCTGGGTTCGATCTCAGCTGTGGGCGATTTGTCTTGTATTGGTTTCAACAGTGGTACTGAGAGCTAACTATTCAGAAAGCAGTGACAAACTACTGCCTAGAAAAACCACAATAGCCAAAAAATGTGGAGTTGGTTTTGGAAACATAACTAATTTTAGTCTACCTTGTTGTACCCTGTTGTTTTTGTTCCTTTCTAGCCTGCCTTCTGATTCATCTGAGGATCAAAAATGGATGTTCTGGACAAATTGAAGGCTAAGTACAAGGTAACTGACGCATGCATGGTTCAATGTTGTTGATTCATTTCCCTAATTTACACTTCCGTTATAGACACCATCTCTGTTCTTGAACAAGTTTAGTAGATTGTGCAAGTGTTATTGTAGATAAGTGGGTACACTACTGACATAGAAATAACAGAGATTACTAACAAGGATTTAAGTCTTAACAACTATTTAAAAAAAAAAAAAAAAATGTATCTTTCTTAATGAAATTGGATGGTTGATACGCAAATGGATTTATATGTTGTATAGATTATCTAAGTGGTGGGAACATGTCAGTTAAATTGTACAGTGACTTGGTTTTAATAAACAGAGTTAAAGACCCTTCTCCATGACTTCAGTGATATTGAACATGTAGAGTTAGACCTATATATGTGCACACACTTGTGCACCATCTTTCCTTGCATGTGGGTATGCATACACTTGTGCACCATCTTTCCTTGCATGTGGGTATGCATACACTTGTGCACCATCTTTCCTTGTGGTAACTACCCTGTGAGTCCATGCATGTGGGTATGCATACACTTGTGCACCATCTTTCCTTGTGGTAACTACCCTGTGAGTCCATGCATGTGGGTATGCATACACTTGTGCACCATCTTTCCTTGTGGTAACTACCCTGTGAGTCCATGCATGTGGGTATGCATACACTTGTGCACCATCTTTCCTTGTGGTAACTACCCTGTGTGTGTGAGTCCATGCATGTGGGTATGCATACACTTGTGCACCATCTTTCCTTGTGGTAACTACCCTGTGAGTCCATGCATGTGGGTATGCATACACTTGTGCACCATCTTTCCTTGTGGTAACTACCCTGTGAGTCCATGCATGTGGGTATGCATACACTTGTGCACCATCTTTCCTTGTGGTAACTACCCTGTGAGTCCATGCATGTGGGTATGCATACACTTGTGCACCATCTTTCCTTGTGGTAACTACCCTGTGAGTCCATGCATGTGGGTATGCATACACTTGTGCACCATCTTTCCTTGTGGTAACTACCCTGTGAGTCCATGCATGTGGGTATGCATACACTTGTGCACCATCTTTCCTTGTGGTAACTACCCTGTGAGTCCATGCATGTGGGTATGCATACACTTGTGCACCATCTTTCCTTGTGGTAACTACCCTGTGAGTCCATGCATGTAGGTATGCATACACTTGTGCACCATCTTTCCTTGTGGTAACTACCCTGTGAGTCCATGCATGTGGGTATGCATACACTTGTGCACCATCTTTCCTTGTGGTAACTACCCTGTGAGTCCATGCATGTGGGTATGCATACACTTGTGCACCATCTTTCCTTGTGGTAACTACCCTGTGAGTCCATGCATGTGGGTATGCATACACTTGTGCACCATCTTTCCTTGTGGTAACTACCCTGTGTGTGTGAGTCCATGCATGTGGGTATGCATACACTTGTGCACCATCTTTCCTTGTGGTAACTACCCTGTGAGTCCATGCATGTGGGTATGCATACACTTGTGCACCATCTTTCCTTGTGGTAACTACCCTGTGAGTCCATGCATGTGGGTATGCATACACTTGTGCACCATCTTTCCTTGTGGTAACTACCCTGTGAGTCCATGCATGTGGGTATGCATACACTTGTGCACCATCTTTCCTTGTGGTAACTACCCTGTGAGTCCATGCATGTGGGTATGCATACACTTGTGCACCATCTTTCCTTGTGGTAACTACCCTGTGAGTCCATGCATGTGGGTATGCATACACTTGTGCACCATCTTTCCTTGTGGTAACTACCCTGTGAGTCCATGCATGTGGGTATGCATACACTTGTGCACCATCTTTCCTTGTGGTAACTACCCTGTGAGTCCATGCATGTGGGTATGCATACACTTGTGCACCATCTTTCCTTGTGGTAACTACCCTGTGAGTCCATGCATGTGGGTATGCATACACTTGTGCACCATCTTTCCTTGTGGTAACTACCCTGTGAGTCCATGCATGTAGGTATGCATACACTTGTGCACCATCTTTCCTTGTGGTAACTACCCTGTGAGTCCATGCATGTGGGTATGCATACACTTGTGCACCATCTTTCCTTGTGGTAACTACCCTGTGAGTCCATGCATGTGGGTATGCATACACTTGTGCACCATCTTTCCTTGTGGTAACTACCCTGTGAGTCCATGCATGTGGGTATGCATACACTTGTGCACCATCTTTCCTTGTGGTAAGTACCATGTGAGTCCATGCATGTGGGTATGCATACACTTGTGCACCATCTTTCCTTGTGGTAACCACCCTGTGTGTGTGAGTCCATGCATGTGGGTATGCATACACTTGTGCACCATCTTTCCTTGTGGTAACTACCCTGTGAGTCCATGCATGTGGGTATGCATACACTTGAGCCCCATCTTTCCTTGTAGTAACTACCCTGTGAGTCCATGCATGTGGGTATGCATACACTTGTGCACCATCTTTCCTTGTGGTAACTACCCTGTGAGTCCATGCATGTGGGTATGCATACACTTGTGCACCATCTTTCCTTGTGGTAACTACCCTGTGAGTCCATGCATGTGGGTATGCATACACTTGTGCACCATCTTTCCTTGTAGTAACTACCCTGTGAGTCCATGCATGTGGGTATGCATACACTTGTGCACCATCTTTCCTTGTGGTAACTACCCTGTGTGTGTGAGTCCATGCATGTGGGTATGCACACACTTCTGCATCATCTTTCTCTGTAGTAACCACCTTGTGTGTGTGACTGCATGCGTGTAGGTATACATACACACGTGCACCATCTTTCCTTGTGGTAACCACCTTGTGTGTGTGAGTGCATGCGTGTGGGTATGTATACACACGTACACCATCTTTCCTTGTGGTAACCACCCTGTGAGTGCATGCATGTGGTGTGTGAATACATGTGGGTATGCATACTCACATGCACAATCTTTCCTTGTAGTAACCACTGTGTGTCTGAGTGCATGCACATGTTTATGCATACACAAGCGCACATTCTTTCCGACAGGTAGCCTGTGACACTCAAAGGAAAGGAGAGACAGATTTGAAAGTAATGCTTGTCAAAATCGAATGTAAACGGTCATGGATTACATAAGACATAGAAACTTTATGATGGTGGATTATAATGACAGTTGAAAAGTATTTGTGTTTCTCACGTTTTCAGTTGTCTGCTGAGACAGAAAATTTCTTGAAGTTGCAGCTGGAGCAGCAAGTCAATGGGGAGACAGGGAAGATAGAGAAGGAGAACTCGGCAGGGTCTGTCTCCGAGTTTAGTGACAAGATTGTGGCAGATTTTGATGGCTATGTCAAACAGTTCTCAGTGCCATCTGCTGGTGTTCCTAGTGAGTATACCCATCTTTGATTTATAAGAATGTGAAGGATTTCATTTCCATGATATTGAAGTCTCTTAGTGATATGGTGCGAAATGCATATTGTTTGACCACCTAAAATGACCAGTATAATGTTGTCACTGTCATGCTGGCCGCTTTACCTACCATAAAATTTTCTGGTATCCGTTTTATGAGGCTTGATTGACCCTTGCAGCCAGGCAGTTGTGACAAAATCCTGTCTAGAAAGGGAATTTGAGCATAAGGCTTGTAATTTCAAGCAAATATGTTAAGTTATGGCTGCATCCAACATATATGTGGACTGGAATGAAATAGTCCTTAATGTTTGTAAGGCTGTTGGAGGGAGTGGAATAGGCAAACAACATACTCAGCACTACCGTACGGTGCAGCAAGGTAGACAATTAACGAGCAGAAAGTTGAATTGAGGCTCTGGAGGTGTCATGCATCAGAATAGGCCTTATTTCATTAAGAAACATTTTTTTTTGTTTAAATGTAGAAAGAATGCAGTGAGTAGAATGTTGTTTAAAAGAATAATTAAAAAAAAATATATAGAAGTGAAATATTTTTACCACACTGAAACATGCTTATTAAAAAAAACCATACAAGAGAGAAAATTTGAAGAAGAAATGCAAGAGGTACCCAGTGATACAAGTGGGAGGATAACATGAAAACACAACAGACAGAGAGTGTACAACCAGTGTGAAGGCACAGAATGTTGGCATTTATTTCTTGTAGTCTGGTAGTTTTAGTTTCAGCTTCGTAGCAAACGGGTAACCCCATCTTTGCTCCGCTCCTGTGCCAACGAAAAAAACACAGAATGTTTATCACAGTCCCTTGTGGAAAGATTGACAGACTGCTGTTTCAGCATATCTAGCATACACTCACAATAAAGCATACGGTAGCCATCCGAAGTGCTAACACAAACAGTCCGACATTATAATGCACTTAATCATTGATGGTAGTAGAAGTCACTAACAGATCAGCAGTTGCCCACGCGATCAGTTTTAATCACATACGGGCACCACCAACATTGTGACAAGCATTGCGCCATTTTCTGAATCTACAATTCAAAATTCACACCACCACGTCGGTTACAGTCGAAAAAACATTCCAAATGACATTCGCAGCTCACAGTGTCACGCCATGCATTCAGCTCAGAAGCTAGGTGATGAAACTATATCCAGTCTACAAATGGAGCAAAACTGCATCAGCCACCGTCCGGCAGAAGCAAGCAATTTGCCTCGGCTCCAAACAGTTCACCCGCCTAGCGTCCATTTTGACCGAAAGTTTATGGCATTTATTTGCAGCCAGCCTGTGTTGTGGAGATGGCCCCTGATTGATTGTTCTTTTATTTACAGATGGTGTTCCTATTTCTGTAGTCAAGCCCAAGGACTGTGCCCGCAGGCCTGGGATTCTGATCAACTTCCATGGGGATGGACAGCTTGCAGGCTCTAAACATGCCACACAAGCTTTGTGCATGCTGCTGGCCAGGTAACCTGCTGACTTCTTCATTTGTCTGGTCTGGATAAATCTTCTTCTTCTTAGCATTCACCGACTGTAAACTCTGGAGGAGTGCTCTGGTCGTTCATACATTTCAGCTTGAGTTTTGCTTCCACATCCATTTCACAGATCTCATTTAAAACAACCTTCAAGCAACTGTATTACTTGTTTCAGTTTTTTAACAAATAGTTATATGGTATAATGTTGAATGTGTATGTATGCTTATACAAATGTATGTTTAGTCTGTTCTCAGTCTCCCCCCCCCTCCCCCCCCCCCCCCCCTTCTTCTCTCTCTCTCCCTCTTTGACACAGACGTGCACGCACGCGACTTGCACTTACACACACACTTGATATTACATTATATATTAAGTTTTGGAATAATAACAGCATCATCAGCAACATACAGTAAAACTTGTTAACATGAATGTCAGCGGTTCAAAATTCGAATTCTTGATGCAATAAAGTGTGCTATCTGGGGAATAATAACAGTGATACATCCCTGCTGGGATCAACATTTATTTATAAAATATTTTAAGTATTCTTTTGAAGTGAGGTCATATTACCAAGGTTTTACTGTACTTAGCCAGTAGTTGTTATTTTTGTGATTTTTTTTGTTTTACATTTTCTGGGCATGACTTTAATGCTTTTGAATTTTCTGCGTTCTTGTTAACCCAGGGAACTGAAGTGTGTGGTGGTGGATGTGGACTATCGACTGGCTCCGGAGCACAAGTTTCCTGCCATGTTTGACGATGGCAAAGCTGTGGTCAGATGGGTTTTAATGAACAAGTCCCTGATTGGTCAGTTTCATTGACACTTTATTATTTTTATTTATATAATTAACCAAAAAAAATTAACAAAAGATTATCAGAAATAAAAGATAATATCATTGTAGAACCTGGATTCGGAAACCTGAACACATCCTCCAGGAATAACAACAATGAAATAGTTACTGGGAGAGCAAGTCATTTCTGTAATATGAAAGTCTTTAGTTCAGTTTATTAGAATTTGAGTTATTTCTGTTTTCCTTAGTCTTATCCTTCATCCAGTATTTACTTGTATGGGACCTAATTGTATTAGGCCTATTTGAAGTAGAGCTACAATATTTATGCCTTTCAGCTGAATCACCCCCCACCACACCCACTCCTCACCCCAGACATTTTTGACTGGGTTAGTTATTTTGATTCACTAACCTTTGACTTGAAAATGTCTAGCTGAGAGACAGCAGATTTGAAATCTAGGACTGTCCCTTTGACCTGTCAGACTGAAATCTAGTACTGTCCCTTTGACCTGTCAGACTGAAATCTTTTACTGTCCCTTTGACCTGTCTGACTGAAATCTTGAACAAGAACTAACATTTGTGGAGAGAAATAAGTGTCTAAACCACCTCTTGAGGCACACGATGATGATGTTTAAAAATATAAAGCAGATTTGGTCATGAGAAGTAGAATATGTTACCAGATAGCACAGATTCAGATTTGCTGTCAGTTAGGTCTATCCAGCTGGTGACCCACGGGCCAGATTTGGCTTGCCAAGGCCTAGTAAGTGGCCCAAGGATCATTGTCATTTGCACTGTATTAATGATCTTTTGATGCTGTGACTTAGGTCTCTGGCTCGTGACGATCCTTATTTTCAAAGTGTTGGCCCCTGACTAAACGTAATTCTTCTTCTTCTTCTTCTTCGCGTTCACCAGCTGTACACTCTGGCGGAAAGTTCTGGTTGTTTGTCCACACCTGGACTGCAGTCCTGCTCCAGAACCTGAGTGTTGCGTGTGCATCAGTTTTACGGATCTGATTCACTTGAATGCAGACTGTTGGTTCCTTGCCTCTCAGGCAGATGCACTCCGACTTCAAAGGAAGCTACCAATTAGTCGACTCTTACGACATGCTTTCTGGTAGGCAGTGGGTCTATTCTTGTTTTCCCCCACAATGGGGCCCCGGAACCCACACAGGTATAAACGTAATTGAATAGCCCTGCTGTAAGTGGACACAATGCCAGTCCTCTGGTCAAGGCCAGTGCTCTGGTCAAGGCCAGTGCTCTGGTCAAGGCCAGATGTCTCACTAACTAAGAATTCTCTGCACACCAGGCCAGGAGTCTAGCGTGTAGCTAAGTGTTTGCACTGAGTCCCTTTATTGCATTTTGTATTGTTCAGGTGGTGAAAATGACAGCAAAGTTGGTGTCCTGGGAGCTGGGGCTGGAGGGGGCATAGCCTTGACCATTGCCTTTGAAGTCCCTGGAATCGACTATCAGGTACAGTTTCATTTTTGACACATTTCAGACGGTCACATTGTGAATGTTGTATATCATATAAAGTAGTGTTTTCTGCTTTACACTGCATCTTCCCTTTCGGGGTTAGGGGCCCCATTTTGAGGGAGGGTGGGGTGGGGGAAGAAGACCCCTAATGTCCCCCCCCCCCCCCAATCAAGTGTGATGTATAAGGCAACGGAAATCAGATGTGTTAGGACACAAGGCACAGATATTGCAGCCTAGCTATAAACAACAACATTGTACCAATGGCCCTATGAAGGGCAGACACAGAAGCAGGCCTTGTTCTAGTCACATAGTAATGGAATTAATAGTCAAGATTTCAGTTCTGCAGTTACAGTTGTGCTGGTCCAGTGATATGGGGCTGTTATCTTCCCTCTGCCTTCCCTTTCAGAGTGTTGTTTTTTTCCATGGCCACGGCTTTAGGATTGTATTGTAGCTGTTGTATTTTTCTGAAACATATTATAAAAACATATTTCATGATGCATTTATGACCATGTGAATGCTAGATTGTGATAACTGCATTGAGACTCAGAATATATGTGATCTATACAATTGAAGTAGATTCTTCTTCTTACCATTGGCCGGCTGTAAACTCCTACTGAAATATAATTGAGAGTGTGTGATATCCTGTAGAGTGAATGATGCGTTATAGAAAGTATTAATCAATAGTGTGTGTGATGAATTATCTACAGATTCTGGTGTACCCTTTAGTAGACTGGAGCTGTCAGGGAGCAAGCTTTGATGAATGTGAATTTCCTGGGAGCAACTTCAGCCTGTCTGCCAGTATCAGAAAGTGAGTTGTCCCTGGTCTTTCCAGCTGACTGTCTTGGATATCTGTTCCAGCCAGCTCTAGGAGATGAATTCCTTGGTGGTTGGGTTAGTGTCTTTAGGTTCCAGTGTGCGGTTCCTGGGCCCCATTTGGAGGAGGGGGTACAGACCAGCCACTCTGACAAATGTGTTGTCAAAGGCAGTTAATTAATGACTTGTGGAAATCAAATGTATGGGCTGATCTCAGGCACATTGTTTGTTTGAGAGCATATCACTGGAGAATACACTGAGTCTTTATCAGCTATTCGGTATTCATCAACACTTATTCCTGTTCAAGCTTGCTGTGTTGAAGTATCTCGGTGTGTGTCGGAGCAGGCTGCTGATTAGAGCCAAAGGACAGTCATTGCAGTTTTGTATAAAATAATGTAAACACTGCTGTTAATACTAAAATATGTAAACATGAAAACATAAGCTCACTTGACCTTGTTGAGAACAGCCGAGTGTCTGCTAGAAGGTGCTGAGGAGCTGATGATATTGTTGAAGAAAGTCCCCTTCCAGTAACATTTCAGGAAACTGAAATTATTTTTTATGTCTATTTTACCTACTTGCACCTGGTTGAGGGTCATTTGGTTGACTTTTTTAAAAGTCTGTCTAAATAACTTTGTTTGGGCTTTGTTAGAATGGTACTTCTCTGGAAAGTTTTCTGTGTCCATCCATTTGGCAGATATTTTCTTGATCACTGAGAGAGGTAGACAATGGTGACATGCGGTGTTGTGACTAAGTTCAGCTCACACAAGTTTTTGTATGCGAGTCATGTTCCAAAGGCATTTACCAAGCAAACTTTTCGCATTTAAACAGAAAGTATACGAAGTGACGTAGACCAAAGCAGACATATACAGAGGTACCACTGTATTGGTACTTTATGACTCATTTTAAAGACTATACTGTTGGTAATTTGTGATCCACCCTGACAAATTGAAAACATTATTTGTAATTTAAGATTCACCTGACAAGTTGAAGATGCTATTTTTAATTTGTAATCCACATGAATTAATTGGATACACTCTTGATATTTAGTGGACATCATGAATATGGTCATTGTTTGGTAGTTTGGGAATTCTCCCCTCCCTGGAAAACTTGATTAAATTGTAACAGCCACTCAGTGCAAGAGAACAACCTAAAATAAGGGCACTCTGATCCTGTAACTGAAGCAGTGGTGCCTTACCTGTTGTCTCATGCTGCTCAGCAGTGTAAGAGATGGAACAGCTCAACTAGTCAGAGCAACCCTCATAGCTCACCTGACTACAGACTACCACTATGCTTCACATTTTAGGCAACATTTATCCCATAACAGTTGCTCTAGGGCTGTGTGTCACTTGCTTCTGTGTTCATTATAGTATCACAGTCCAGGGGATCCACTTCATGGCACTGATTTTATTCCATATGGCTCGGTCTTTCTCAACTTAACAACTAGTTTCCTTTTGAAAGTGCAGCACAAATAGAAACTGCATATCCAGCAGCGATCCCACAGAATCTCTACAGTTATACTGGTGAACCAAATGGTGCAGCCATGAAAACACATCCAGTACCTTCAGATCGCCAGATAAACTGTTTCACTATTTACGCTATGGAGCCCTCAGTGTTTAAATGTATCAGAATTAGTAATTGATCTTCATTGATGAATCATAGTAGGCTTCCTGGGCTCTGTTTAAAAACAAAACAAAAATAGACCCACTGCTCCTTAAAAAGTATGTCCTAGGAGGCAACTAATTAGAGGTGTTTCCTTCAAAGTCGGATGTGCCTGAGAGGCAAGGAACCAACAGTCTTCTTAGAAATAAGCCAGATCTGAAAAATGGATGTGCACGCAAATCTCAAGTTTAGGAGTGGACAAATGACTAGAACTTTCTACTGGAGTTTACAGCTGTTGAACACTAAAAAGAAGAACTGAAGTTGTCTGAGGAACATTTCTCCATGAATCCATTGTCAGTAGCAGATACAGCTTAACTTGCAATTTATGTAGAAGGTAAATTTTCATAGAATGATATTTGTGTTTATACAGAAGTGTGGAAGCCAGCCTCAGGTCTGAAGCAGACAGGACCAATGTTCGAGCCTCACCAGTTCTTCGCAAGGATTTCACCCCCTTGCCACCAACTCTTCTACTCATCGCAGAAGTTGACCCTCTCAAGGACTCCAATTATGGTAAAACTTCATATATGAGTATTTACTGTCAGACAGAAACCACACAATAATGTATTATTTTTTCCACAGCACTTTTTTTTTCTGCGACTGTGTGGCCTAGAGGTTAGTGATGTGGTTTCCCAACACAGTCCTCAATGTTTGCCAGGGTTGTTGCCTGTGTGGGTTCCGGGGCTCCATTGTGGGGAAAATAAAAATAGACCTGCTGCCTTCTCACAAAGCATGTCATAGGAGTCGACTAATTGAGGCATCCTTTGGAGTGCACCTGCTTGTGTGGCAAGAAACCAAGAGTCTTCATAAAAATAAGCCAAATCTGTAAAACGGATGTGCACGCAACACTCATATTCTGGAACAAGAATAAATTCTATAGGTGGACAAACAACCAGAACTTTCTGCTCAGGTTTATAGCCAGTGAATGCGAAAAAAACCCAGACTAGGCTTGTATTGCCATGGTGGGCAGCCAAGACTCTTCTAATGGCTTTTACACATTAGTATGAGAGTTACACTGGGGAAGAGACTGAGGCCTCATCACGTAATCTCTGTATAGTCACACATGGATAGATTGCAGCCTGCTTCCATTATGGAGAAAGAACCATAACAGTTAGTTACTGTTCAAAAACAAGTTATAAAGGTAGAAATTTGTATTTTTTTATATTATTGATTGCTGTTTTATTGCTCATTCACTAATTCATTTATTGCTACTTTGCTTAGTTTATTGTTACATTTCTCAGTCACATTTGCTATTGATTGATTTAATGGGCTGCTTTATCATGCCAGTATTCTGTTACCTTCTAGGGTTATTGTTTTCATGAGGTGTTTTTGTACAGACACGTGGTAATTAATGGCAAGCTTCATGTATCTAGTATATCAGATCCTTAAAGTTGACACCGTCATTGCTCTGATGTTTGCAGAGTTCAAGTCAAAGATGAAAGCTGCCAATGTTGTTTGTGACAGCAAGCTGATGAAAGGTGCTATCCATGGCTTCTTTTCTCTCCCAGGTTTGTTGTCTTTTTCATTTTGGTGGGTTTCATTTAAAAAAGGGGTGAAGTGGTATGGTTGACCAAATGAGACTGATAGCAGTTAGTAAGAGTAAATAAATATACAGTATGAAACAACTATGCCAGAATGGCAGAGGAAGACTGAAAGATGTATATGGAAAGCTTGCAGAGCTGTACAATAAATGTACGCAGTACAAATTTGATAAAAAATAGAATTGATTAAAAATCAAGCTCACTTATTGTTCAAGTTGTAAGACAGGATTTGTGTTGTACCTGTTTCCAGTAGAGGTGAGATATTTAGGACTCTAACCCTTTCACCCTGTTGACCTAGAAAACAGTACACCCAAACTCGTACTCTCTATTTTTTTGGACATACTCTGAAAAATCCATTAAAAAAAAACACATGTCACACCTACACATACAATCAGTTTATCATACTAAGCTAAAACAAACCACACTATACAGAGAAAGAAAAATAAATCAGTAAAAACAAATCTAGCATGGAATCTACTTCCGTACATCTCTTGGGGTCTGCAAGTTAATTATACCGTGACCCTGTGACCTGGTCGCCTGGTAACCACTGTAGCCAATGGGAAAAATATGACACAGGAATTTCTATCAATAAAACCATGTTTTTATAAAAAGGAGATCCCCTAAATGCTATTTGTAGTCCATGTAATCATCTCCTGCCAACCTGAAAGTTTGTGTAGGTGCAGATGAAATAAGTTCTGTTAGCTTGACCTCTCGTAAATATGTCTCTGTAGCGTCAGGAAACCAGTTTTTTGCGAGGATCTGGTACCCACCGGGCCAGATTTTTGACAGTACTATTTTGACTTGGTCCCAGCACTATTGGCTGGGGTTGCCGTCCCACATAATGAGACAAGTTTTTATTCAGATGAACTGACAAGTCAGCACACGTCTGACAATTATTGCCTTTTCCCATAGAATTGGTAGAAAGTGCCGTCATTTTTTTGTCTTGGTCTAAATGCTTTACTTTCCACTTGTTTCTGTGGATACTTCTTATAAACTTCTTGGGCTCTTGGGCCGAGCCTGCATAAAAAAAAAAATTTTAAATACAGGCCTTGTCGAAAACTGTATTGCGAATCTGTTGATGTTTTGATTTTAACATGATTATGGAAAAGTATAGATATGGTGATTTATTCAGTGTATTAATTTCTGTTCCGAACTAGGTCAGTTTCCGGAGACGAATCAGAGAGCCAGAGAAATTATTGGTCAGTTCTACAAGAAGCATGGAGTTTGCTGACTAGATCGGAACGGTCCTTGAATACAAGGGACCATAAGCAGTTTCATTTAGAGAACATATATGATATCTGGTATGAAAACAGTTATATAGTTGTGAGATCTTGAACACACACAACACCAGATAGTCCATTTAGATGAAACACTAATACAGTATTGCATAATGTATAAGCTTGTATGAATATCAGAATAGCCATGTTGTATAGTGTGTCACCAAAATGAGGTTATTGAAAGTTTGTAGGTTGCAGAAAATATTGAGTTAGTATTTAGTAATCGTGCACAAGTAATATAAAATATGCTTGAAGAAATGTGTATCAGCAACAACATAGGCAAAAGTACTGCTGCAGTATTAATTCATGCGTGCTCATTTGGAAGAATAGTGACAATGAAAGATAATTGTGAGTACTATAACTGGAAATCATCCATGAGTGTTCACAGCTTAGTGAAAATTTGTAGGGAGATTAGATTTGTAGAAGGGAGATGGTGCATAACTAAGGTTTCTGTCAAGTATTGATTGACTTGTGAGCAGCTAAGGACAGAAATACATAACACTGGACCCATACGAGCTTGTGTCTGATTATTGTTAAGTCAGACTTGAAGCAGATGCGACCGTAAGGCCACCAAGCAAGCTAGCCAGGGTACCCTCAGTGTGGTTGGGGAATCAATCAAACAATAACTATATAAAATATAATCCTCCCCAGATGGGTTCTAGGGTCCCATGTGGAGCAAACAATAACAGATCTACTGCCCCTCAACAGTATACCGTAAACGAGGACTGTGTCTTAGCTAAAATTGAATATGTTGGGCTGAAAGCTGCTGATATCACAGACTAGCTGTAAACCATAACACAATGTGCCAGCTGCCTTTATAGGGCGAATGCAGAAGCAGAAAAATATTCCTCAAAGGAAGTTGCCTGAGAGCATGTCATTGGAAATGTAAGCATGGTGCTGCTACTAATTACTCTACTGTATAGGTCTGTACAATGACAACACTGAAGATCAATGTTTTTGAGAATCTTATTTAAACAAAAAATTAGATTAAGTGATGAATTAGCAGCTACAGTATAAGCAGCTGCAATAAAACACTCTCGTCTGGAACGACGGAAAGATGCTGACAGTAGCTATAGAAACCTTGACCCAGATGTTAGCAGTGAAAGTGTGAAAATAGTAATGAAATAAGATTGGATACAAATTGTGAAAATAGTAATGGAATAAGATTGGATAGAAATTGTGAAAATAGTAATGGAATAAGATTGGATACAAACTGTGAAAATAGTAATGGAATAAGATTGGATACAAATTGTGAAAATAGTAATGGAATAAGATTGGATACAAACTGTGAAAATAGTAATGGAACAAGATTGGATACAAATTGTGAAAATAGTAATGCAATAAGATTGGATACAAATTGTGAAAATAGTAATGCAATAAGATTGAATACAAATTGTGAAAATAGTAATGGAATAAGATTGGATACAAACTGTGAAAATAATAATGCAATAAGATTGGATACAAATTGTGAAAATAGTAATGGAATAAGATTGGATACAAATTGTGAAAATAGTAATGCAAAAAGATTGGATACAAATTGTGAAAATAGTAATGGAATAAGATTGGATACAAATTGTGAAAATAATAATGGAATAAGATTGGATACAAATTGTGAAAATAGTAATGCAATAAGATTGGATACAAATTGTGAAAATAGTAATTGCAGAATAATAATTAATATTTGCAGAATACGGCAAAAGGACATTGCAATGTCAAAATAATAAATAGTTCTTTTCAAATTTACTGTGAGAATAGTCGCATCTTTGAAAACTTTGTTTATTACCGTTGAATCTTAGAATTATACTACAGTTTTTACTCCAGTTTACGTAAAACACATTTTTATTTCACTGCACTCTTGCAGAATTATAGAAAATATTGAAATAACAATTGTATACATTAATTGAAATTTTTAAAAAGAACTAACTGCTTATTAAATTAATAATGCTGTGAAAATTTAAATGTGAAATGGTTAATGGGATTTGTTGTGTCTTTTCAAAGCATATTTAAGTTCGTCTTGGTAATTGCTTGTGTTTTATAAAGCACATCTGAGTATACCCATCCTATCTGTTTTAGTGCAATTTTTATAGCGGCAGAGAAGCCGTGAGTTCATAATTAGCTCCCCTCTGGCTAAACATACATGCCAGTTTTTAATTGTTATGATTTGCCCGATAATAATTGATGTAAATTTATTTTAATTAATGTTGTTATCTTATTTGTGACGGCTTTGATTTCACTGTCATGAGTGTTACTTGGAACTGTTTTGTTGATACCTGCAAATGTTCAGCCATTTTATTTTTCCTATAAGACAATTTTTGTATTAACACTTTTAGATGTGTATATATTTTATATTCTTGGCTTTTTAGAAGACCCTTATTTTTCACAAATTTGCTCATATTTTTATATCATCTATTGAAATACTCTAGTTTCTGTAAGCATAGTTGGTGTTTTTTGCAACTCTTACTTATATATTTGAATGTATTACATTTATCTTCAGTGTGTCATGAGTTCATTATAAAGTGGCACTTTTCTAAGGGTAAACAGGAAACGCCACACAGATGTTTGTGTGAAAATAGCTGTGACTCTGGTATCAGGTCAGACAGATAAAACACCACACAACACAGATGTTTGTGTGAAAATAGCTGTGACTCTGGTATCAGGTCAGACAGATGAAACACCACACAGATGTTTGTGTGAAAATAGCTGTGACTCTGGTATCAGGTTAGACAGGTGAATCACCACACAGATGTTTGTGTGGAAATAGCTGTGACTCTGGTATCAGGTCAGACAGATAAAACACCACACAGATGTTTGTGTGGAAATAGCTGTGACTCTGGTATCAGGTCAGACAGCTGAAACACTGCACAGATGTTTGTGTGGAAATAGCTGTGACTCTGGTATCAGGTCAGACAGATGAAACACCACACAGATGTTTGTGTGGAAATAGCTGTGACTCTGGTGTCAGGTCAGACAGATGAAACACCACACAGATGTTTGTGTGGAAATAGCTGTGACTCTGGTATCAGGTCAGACAGATGAAACACTGCACAGATGTTTGTGTGGAAATAGCTGTGACTCTGGTATCAGGTCAGACAGATGAAACACCACACAGATGTTTGTGTGGAAATAGCTGTGACTCTGGTGTCAGGTCAGACAGATGAAACACCACACAGATGTTTGTGTGGAAATAGCTGTGACTCTGGTATCAGGTCAGACAGATGAAACACTGCACAGATGTTTGTGTGGAAATAGCTGTGACTCTGGTATCAGGTCAGACAGATGAAACACCACACAGATGTTTGTGTGGAAATAGCTGTGACTCTGGTATCAGGTCAGACAGATGAAACACTGCACAGATGTTTGTGTGGAAATAGCTGTGACTCTGGTATCAGGTCAGACAGATGAAACACCACACAGATGTTTGTGTGGAAATAGCTGTGACTCTGGTATCAGGTCAGACAGATGAAACACCACACAGATGTTTGTGTGGAAATAGCTGTGACTCTGGTATCAGGTCAGACAGATGAAACACCACACAGATGTTTGTGTGGAAATAGCTGTGACTCTGGTATTAGGTCAGACAGATGAAACACTGCACAGATGTTTGTGTGGAAATAGCTGTGACTCTGGTGTCAGGTCAGACAGATGAAACACCACACAGATGTTTGTGTGGAAATAGCTGTGACTCTGGTATCAGGTCAGACAGATGAAACACCACACAGATGTTTGTGTGGAAATAGCTGTGACTCTGGTATCAGGTCAGACAGATGAAACACCACACAGATGTTTGTGTGGAAATAGCTGTGACTCTGGTATCAGGTCAGACAGATGAAACACCACACAGATGTTTGTGTGGAAATAGCTGTGACTCTGGTGTCAGGTCAGACAGATGAAACACCACACAGATGTTTGTGTGGAAATAGCTGTGACTCTGGTATCAGGTCAGACAGATGAAACACCACACAGATGTTTGTGTGGAAATAGCTGTGACTCTGGTATCAGGTCAGACAGATGAAACACCACACAGATGTTTGTGTGGAAATAGCTGTGACTCTGGTGTCAGGTCAGACAGATCAGGGGTTTTCTGTAGTCTGTCTGTGTGCTGGTTGTCTTCATGACATTGTGCAGTAGAAGCTGTTTGTGCTGAGGTTCTGTTGATTGTAGCGGTACAGAGGAGACTCTTCTGGCTTGCTAGGGTCATCAGCAAGTTTACAAGCAAAAAATACCATGGGCTCTTCAGACATATGTTACTAGACTCATATTTTGATAGACCTGTTAGCATGCAGGGGGGGGGGGGGCGGTGTGATGTCAGTATTGCATGGCCGCCTTTACTTACATGACATTTCCTGTCACCAATTTTAGGTTGGACTAATGTGAGAACTCTAGGTAAATTATACAAATCTCCCCTGATGCCGATTTGATTCACGATTGTTGACCAGCAGGCAAGTATCTGGGGGGGGGGGGGGGGGGGGGGGGGGTTGGTATTGTTTTCAGCAGTGGTGGGTAACTGATACTGGGGCTGACTGATCTCACATAAAACACAGGCACCCATTTGTTGATATGTAATCAGGTGTTTAGCTGCTGGCCCCATAGTCGATTATTCATTGGGGGTTTGAAGTGTTCCACAGGCTAGCACACGAGTCACGGCACCTCCACTAGTCTTTATGGGTAGATATTGTAGAAACATTGGAGTGGTTCTTTGCAGCTGCAGCACTGACACTACACTTCACAGATGGCAGACCAGCAGCAGTACTTGTTTTTGGATATGATTTTCACGGGATTTCCGGAAACTCCAACTGGTGTAGAGTCAGAGCATGGCCAGATAATGTTTAGATGCCACGCCAAAGTCTTTTGTTTGCATGAAAATGAACACACTAGTAAACAGACTATCAGTTGTAGATATGTTAAAAGCTAACAAAACCAAATAATTTGAACATAACATTACGTTTAAATGTTG